TGTGTCAAACGTTTGCTTGCTTCAACAGTTGATCTTTTCAGAATACAGACTACTTTATTTGAGAGCAAAGATTATTATTGACTACGGTAATCGGAAATGGGGTCTTGTACGGGCCTCCCTTTGCACATTCTCAACGTTTCAGCTCATCTATTTCTATGAATATGAATACTAGGCCCTCTTGGCAAATCAGCAAATCAAGAATGCATTATCCTCGTTTGACGGGACTGGGCGGCCGACCCAAGACATTATCGGTTTTCATCTGAACATCAATAAGGGCGAAGACCCGCTGACAGCGACCCGCCTAGTTGATTTTTCTTCTCCTCCCTTTTAACTAAAACCTTGCACGCCTCCAGAACATATGATTGATCTGAATAAGCTTTTGAAGATTATCTATTGAATGTTTAAGTCATAATAGAAGTTTAGACGTAAGTCCTAATTGTATTTTTACATTTCATATGTATAAAATCAATGAATTGTTCACTACCTTCATGTTACATTTTCATAGCAGGATTCAAATCTTTGTACATACGTGATTATTATGCATATATCCCATGAAAGTAAAAAATATATACAGACAATAGTCCAACTAAAGTCCACTATTTGCATTGGTCAAGTGTCATCGTAAAATAATATCTTAACCATCCAAAATATTTCCGATATAACATAACCAAATAAGTTATCTACTGATAGCCTACAACCTTTTTTTGGCATGCAAAAAGGGTAAGTGAGTCCATAGTAAATAAATGTGCCATACAAGTTTTGAACCTTTTATTTAAATATAAATTTTGTAGGGGCGTTAAACTCTTGGATAGAAACAAAACTTTCTTGAGCCTTGAGAAACTTAAATTTTGAACGTTTCCTTTACAGATTTAAGTTTTGAATATTTACCTAAAATGTGTCTCACTCAACAAATTAAATTCTTACGTAGCCCTTCGCATTATCTCAGTGTTATTAGTAATCTCAAAGAGTAGAAAATATAAATGTTCAAAAATTTGATATGTTTTCGATTTTGTTTTAATTCCAGTGCGATTATTGTGCAATTATCGTCATACAGACTGCGTTTTATCAATTCGTTGACTTTACTTTGACAAAACTTGTCCCTCTCGATTGAAGCACATTCAAAATAGTACTCGTAAAATACACTTTGAGTGAAGTATGCACCTTTTCTCTCAAGTTTTACAATCTTCCTAAGCCACAGCATTGTCAAGAAAAGTGGCAGGCTATACATCAATCAGGATTCAGGAGAACCAGAAGACAAACCCTCTAACCAATAAACAACAGGACACAATTTGGCAACAGTTTATCACCTCCATTGTCCTGGAAGAGCAATCCTGTGTCCCCTAATGGATGACTTGACCTCTGTTATCAGTGGCATTGTTGTCGTCCTAGTGATAACAAACAACTGGTTTATAGCTGGAGATCCTGGGATTGGGAGTTGGTCTATGGTGACATCTTCTGGCCTCTCTTTCTGAAGAATTCAGGATGTTCGTAGGTCAAAGGTCAATTAAAGGTCGTTAATGTGGGCTATAGGGTTTATGTTTAAAATTATGAATGTGTGGTTTATGCCTTTGCGTTGTACACATTTTATATTACTTGTTAGCCTCATTTCAGGAAATTTGCCCTGAAAAGTTAACTTCTTCAATATGTCTTAAACTACGAATTTCTTAGCGTTTTTGTAACAATCGTTTCAGAAAATCAAGAACAACATTAGTGCAAGCAATTCTAGTACTAAAACTGAATGTTCAAACACTTTTCCCAATTCAAATAAATAGCCTTGCTGGTAAACTCAGGTTATTGTAAAATGGTATATTCACTAACCATCTTTGGAACCAATGTTACATGTTTCAAACAATACTTGAAAAGAACAGTCATAGGTCAATTGAACCCACTAAAACTATGAGAATTTTGAATTAGACTATAGTCCAACGTCACTAAACCTCTTCAAATCGTCTAACAGGGCCTTTATTCAGTGATAAGGGTTTCAGCCTAAACTATTTTGCGAAGTTCGACCAAGTATCTAAAATTTTGGTAACCGGTAACTTAAGATGAGGAAACCTAAAAAATAAAGACTAGAGACCATTTTATGATAATTCAGTGTTTAACACTTAAAGTGCCGTTGACATGTTTGAACATGAAAATTGCATTTATTTCAATGTTAAGCAATGGCGGGAATTCCCGTCATCAGCACCCAACGTGTTAATATACCAATCTTGGGTGGACGATTTCCCGCCATGCCACCATTGGTCAGCTGTCGGCCAGTTGGCCCATAGACCACCTGTTGTAGCCCAACACCTGCCGTTTGTCATTAAAACGAACACTATCCCAGCGTTTGATTCCGTGGTCTATGGACATCAACGTATAAAGCTGCCTCCAATAAACATATTGCACGAGCTTCATCGTTGACTTTGGTCCCTAAAGTACATATTAGGTCTATGTGGACTAACTTTAGATATACTTTGTATAATGGAACCTGCTTCCCGACCCTTTGTCTACCTGGTTAATGAACAATGGTTTAAAGCCCAGACAACGCATATTACACGGAGGACCAGGAGAAAGGTTCCAACATATAGACTATATTCTTAACTCAAAGTGAACATACTTTTTCATGGAAAGTTTTGCATATTAAGATAGAATATGAGTGCTTCAAATATGCAATACAGTAACCAGCCCTTTCAGTTTGGTATCAATATAATATCCCTGCCGCAGCAAACCTGCAGACTAAGCAAATTTCCAATTGTTTGATTGGACATTAACTTAAAATATTTCCTTAAAAAAAATCAGATTTACTCCCTTTTTAAAAAGGATTATGTTTAACGTGTAGGTAGTTAGATTTTCTGCTACAGGTAAGGCTAAAGAAAGTGTTTTTCAGCCTCATTCCATAACAGCTTAGTATAAATAAACAAACTGACTTCAACTTTACGTACTATCATCGACTGAAAGCACTAGAGTAAATGATTCTTCAAAGATGTGTAAATATTGTCAACGACATCGTTAATAAACAGCGTTTCATACAGAACATCTTCTTCAATTTCCTTCAAACGCGAAATTCAATCATTCTTAACTTGGAATGGGATACAAAATCTCAAGTCTAATTGGATTCTTATTTTTAAAAATTCATCAAACTTGTCAAATTTATTCCCTATTTAAATATTACATTTCATGTGTACCTAGGTTTGCTGCTACAGGGAAGGAAAAGGTGTTTTTGGTCAATAAGTGGGGAGATGGTAAAAATTGCTTGGTAAAATACTAATAGCAGAGTGTGAAATAAATAAATTTTCCAAATTCGATGCAAACACATCCAACAAGCAATCAAGTGCTTAATTTCACATCATAAGAGCAACATTGGAATTTTAAATGCAAATCGCTTAAAGGATTAACATCCACAAAACTTTAATGGGTTTGGACCGCTTTCCCTTAAAAGAGTTCAATCTCACGTTGCCTTTAATGAAAATACCTTTAGCGTATGAGAAAAAGGAATCGACGATTTAGACTACAAACTATCATGCCGAGACAGAGATCGCATCACATGGTGTAGTAGGGAAACTTATCTACTAATTAATTGCAAACCAATTAACAGCATTTTTGCACGTAGTACACACACAAGGACAGGAGTAACAACTAGACTCATGTCTTTATTAGATTGCCATAACCTGTAAATTCACCTCGTGTTGCTATTAATGTAGACATAAACTCCTTCTATGCACACTTTCGCTTTTATACTCTATGTTTTATGGTTGCTTCGTCTCTTATGGAACATTATTGCTACCATTGTCTGTTACTGTGCCTTACTGTGCAACGATTGATGGAAGCCAGCTGTGCAATTTGTGTAAAGATCAAAGTTGACTTTTTACTTTCTCTTTTTGTTTTGCGTATACTACAGTGTCTTTGCGATAAGGCTTTCTCTAAATTGGTATATAGGGGAAAAGAGATGGAGATGGAGAATTCGTTGGAAAAACAGCTTCTTCCCTAGTTTGCCGCAAAAAGAAGTTATTAAACGCGGAAATTGTGCTACACAAACCCCAAATATCTAGCAAAAAATGTAATACATTTTTGGTTAACTGATAAAATTGTATTACAAATTAAACACGATGACCATTATGATTGTTAATTAGTAGAGATGGGGGCGCCACCTGGTGCGTATTTTAACCCTAATATGAGTGAAGGATGAATGTAGATTATTCAGAATCCAATAGCATAGACTAACCAACACAAGTAGACTTCTCATCACATTGTAACTTTTGAAGCACGTTTTTCGTGTCTAGTTCATGTACGTGACACAAAGGCGCTAGTGTCGATGAAACTTTGTTTCCATTATTTTAAGGTTAATTTCTTGATTTGTGCTTTACTGTTTGGTTATATAACTAGGGGACAAGTTATTGTTTATGATTAGATCGTATTATTTGGTTAAACGAGGTTTTAAATGGTTGTAATAACGGGAAACAAATTGTAAACAAAACACGACCTCTACATAAACCGTACATGAACTAACAATAAAATTGTCTTCAGCTGTTCCATAAGGATGAGAAATCTACTAAGGGAGTATGTTTTATCTATGCCAATAGTCAATGGTAGAATGTTGTGAGATTATCTGTGTAGCTTTGCTACTGACTAAGATCAGCTGTTTCATCGGTCAGGCTAATTTTCTAGTTAAAGCCCAATGATTAGTTTAGAACCATCAAATAATAACAAACCCAGTTTTTGGAGGGTTGTTTCTTGTGTAGCAAACCACAATCGTTAAAAAAATCACAGTGATATGATTAGTTGAGTTGTCCCCAAGTCGGTTCGCGACGACGCAATCGTCTTCAAAATACTAACTTTTATCGTATAACCCTAGATTCTACAGCCTGTATGATGGAGCTTGTCTCATGACCATTGTCAACCTGATACATTGCTTTAACACATTGAGCAGTCTCCATGTAGACCTCGGTCAGGAGACAGGATCTGTCATACAGAGTATAGATCAATAAGTTATTGGCTTAAAGATACTATGTATGTTGCAGCACTGACGCTGGTGATGCTGGAGCTCAGACAGCTACAAGCACAAGTTCATGGGGCTGCGGCCATCGTCTCTGGTCAAGCCTAAGATATCCATGACATGGGTGCTGAAAGGTGACCACTCCACCGAGCCGCTCAGACCGCCCTCTCAGACCAAGAATAGGTAAATTGAATGAGGGGTGTGTTATGTATAGTATGTATGATGGATCCTGCCTCCTGAACCTCCTTCTACCTGGGACTGAAACCATTGGCCTGTCCCCAGAGAGATGGAGTGTCAGGACACAGGTTATACTACACAGAGTATAGCTGGATAGCTGAGTTTGATACCAAGGAGGTAGGTTTCATTCTGAGAACAATTAGTGTCTCTTTGGTGGTTCAGAAATAAACCTAACAGTCTTAGATACGAGGACTTTTAATAAAATGGTTATGGTTATTTTTTTTATTAGTAGTTTTGCAATTTATCATTTTTCTTTGGTGTTTCGCACTAAGATGTGGATAGTATTTGTATTTATTAAATGGCTAAACATATACTAACTGTGTTGCTATAGCTATATTTTTAAACGACGTGGTTTTAATGTGAGATCAATAATCCAGATAAGAGTTAGATAAGTTTGTTTGACCATCGCTTACCTTGTTGAAATAAGGAGAACGTAGTTCCTGTCGCCACGTTTCGAAGTTCATAACATTATAGTTTGTATGATGGAACATGTCAAATGGTTTATTAAAGACCAGGTAGACGGAGGGTCAGGAGTCAGGTTCTATTATACAGACTGTGACCAAAGATGCTGTATTTCTCAGGGAGCCTTCAGACGGGCCGAAGAACCCTGACTTGACGACCATAGATGGAGGACGACGCCGAGAGAAGAGATCTCACCCCAGGAGGCCACGGCGGCCGAGGTCCAAGGCACACAACCCTTCCAGGTTTGGCTACGAGATCACCGACGTTGATGCCTTCCTCAGCAAGGTAATTTCACTTCTTGTCAGAATTCAAACTAATTTTTGAACCATTTCCGTTGATTTACCACAACTGTATAAGTTATAACATAGCCTTCTGTAATACAAGGCCGCGGCGAGACCAAAGTGGCAACGCCGCAGTCTCGGCCTATCGAAACAGATTATAACAATAAGCTGATGATGTATTGTATTCATAATGGAGCGTCTGCGCAATGTTTATGTTTACACGTTAAACATTACTGATATTACCATGGAAACAGGCTGGCCGGTGTGACGTTGCAACCATTAGTATTCGTGCTACCATCGATCTCTATAATAAATATCGATTCGTGGATGGTTGCAACCGTTGCAACACATTAACACCGCGGCCTTATGCAACACTACATAATCTAAGGTACATAGATAAAACATACTGGTTTAGGATATGCATGAATTCTAACCTAACTAACCCTGAACATGATGAAGTAGACGAATAGCATGGAATCTTTCAACAAATTTTGGAATTGATACAACAGAATTTACTTAATTTTGTACTATTGAGTGCATTGTTTGTAAAAGACTTAAATTCGCTACAATTTAAATGAATAGTACAGTTTCATTTATTAAATCTAAAAGCACGTATTGTCATCTGAAGGCATGTTATCTTTAAAATTAGTTTGTAAAATTGAGCACCAAATATATTAAATTTTGGTAGTAACCTTAGGATTTTGATAGCAAACTTTTTACTTTAGGTATTTGTTATTTCAACAGAGAACAGTTTGAATTTATAATACAGTACATGAAATTTTAAATAATAATCTTGTAACGTTTAAAACATTGTACAAAAATGTATTCATGCGGTTATTTATATCGGACTTCAATTTATGCTTCAAAACGTGATGGCAAACGAACGGCTTCGATGCACGATGACGCATGAATCACTAATTTATCAACATCCCAAATAACCAGTTGAGGTGGGAACCTAAATCTCTTATTACTCTGTGTGGTGTGCTTCAATGAGACGAACAATTATATTTAACAAGAGTAGATGTGTTCTAATTCATCATCTCTGATTGGCTGATGGGTGTTATGTCTATTACACAGCCGAACTTAATCTCGTCTTCTTTATAATGGACCGTAGTCGACAGAAACTGTAATATTTTTCATCCTCTTATTTTAAGTTTTAAACATGATCATTTATCGTTATAATTTACAAACAACAATCACTCACTTACCAATTCAGAGCATGCTTATAGATTCAATCTTGGGAATTCGGAGTATACTGTGATGGAACTCAACGTTTGAAGTTCATGGATTTTTCATTGATAGCGTTGTTAGTTTGTATATATACACTTATTTTTTACAAATAGCCTTAGATATTATTTTTTGGGCAAGTATTTCGTGTCTGCGTCTGTGTTTGTAAATGCAGTGTAACGTAGTTGGCTATTCATGTAACGCATAATTGGTTAGTAACTCGATTCTGATTTGATCCTATTCAGGCATAAACTGGCAATCATAGGATTTGAAATTAAATCGGAGAGCTAATTTTGATGGCTCCAAACTGAACCTGGTAGTCCTTGATCATTGGACTAGAATAGCCTTGTCTAAAAAAGCAACTAGATTTATTTAGTCAGTAACAAATTAACATATAGATTTTAGACTAATCAATCAACCATCTTCAGCAAAAATTTAGTAACCAAGATGATTTATATATTACAAAGTGACACAGTACATATAAGACTATTAAAGGTATCTAGATATAGCTGAATCATCAAAGAGATTTATATTTTACTGTTTTGTAATTGAAACTGGAAGCTTAAAAACTATTTCCGCAACGTTCCAGCTACGTAGCGTGTACCTATCCTATGTTGTTGGCACTAACCAACACAAATAAGGGATCAGCTTGGAAATTCTGAAACGCCATAATTCTTTTCGAAAAATGTCTCAGAAGATTCTTTAACATAGAATTCAATTTCCGATTAAAATGTATCACCAACTAAACTGTATCACTTACAACTACCTACGATGCCTTCTTCCAAGTTCCAACCTCTTTCTCAGTTCGTAGAACTTTTATCAACTTGATCATGTTGTCCCCAGGCATCCCTGGACAACCCAGGCAACATCCCCGTTGTTTTGTCCTCGCCCTGTCTTCTCTACCAGACACGTCTGGGTGGACACCAGGAGGAACTCTCCCTGCCGCTGGGGATGGTCGTCAACGCTGTATTCAAAAACCAAGGATGGCTATACGTGCAGGTGCTTTACCACCAATTCTACCAAGATAATTTTTAAGAGATTGTATTTCCAAAACCTATAATGTAGCTAGCCATTTTTCAAAAGACTTTGACACCTTCTTTTAACTTTGAATTTTCCACATGGATTTCAAATGCTTCAACTTGGAACGTACAAGGCAAAGGGTTCAAAAACAAGGTCTTCCGCTGTCAAGGTGTTCCATTGACAAGCTAAAATCAATGAACGACATGGCCCAGTAAAAGAGTGATCCATCCTGATGAATTTGAAATGGAAGAGCCGAGATTAGTTTTTTACCTACCGACTGAGCCGATTCACCTCTACTTCACTATAGGTCAACCGCTTGGAAACGAACCTGCGCGCTTATGGTAACAGCATTAGCGCGCAGGTTCTTTTCTAAGTGGTCGACCTATATAAGCTAATCAATCCGTAATTAATTAAACTGTGCCAAAGCATCAAGTATTATAGGTACTTAGGTTACAAGGAATGGTGCCATTCGATTAGTAATGTTTGTTGCCAAAGCCTAACTTGATCTCTTTCTTTCTTCAGACACCTCACGGAGAGGAGGGTTATGTCCGCTACGCCGCTTGCCTCCCCTTGGGTATTTTACCACCAAGGACACCAGCGCCATGCTGGGAGACACACACTGACATTTTCCCCATGCCACTAGGTAAGTGATGTGATACTCATATATTACTTTCTGACACTATTGAGCTTTTACGTTCACCATAGTTTCTGTAGCAAGCGTTATTTCCGCTTAAAAGTATTTAAATTTGGCTTTGATTCATGAACTACTTTTTGTATTTTAAAAATACTTACACAGTCACAGTATAACAAAATAACGAAGCCAGATACTTGGTTGTACTTAAGGAATGAGAAACATACACGACAGGTCATATTGGAAGAACCTTAAAGAGTTTAGAGACGAGCTGTTGCAAGAGTTACCACCCCTAAATACGGGAGCCAGTTTCCATACATTTTCTTGAGCTCCAGCTTCTGAATTTTTCGTTTTCATTAGTAGAGTTCATAATTTTTCATAGATAATGTTACCAAATCCTAGCCAACTGTTCACTGAAGCAAATCTTTAGATTTTATTGCAACTTGAGTGGATCGTGAATACTAACCAAGTGATTTATCATAGACTTTGCTCTATTAGTTCTGTGTATCACACTAAAAATCAACGAGTTCCTTTATTTTAAAAGAATCTAAAGATACACCCTTCATAGATTCTATATTTTTTCATATTATGACATAATTATGTCTTTTAACCCTCTTCTGGTTGAGTTGTACAAATTGAACCAAAGAACATGTATAGTTTAAGTATTTATTTTAGTTTATAGTTGAAATACATCAGTTTACTGGATTAGTTAGAACAAAACCCATAGTTACATGATAAAGTTATATTTTATTGCTCCTGAACCTTCAAATACTAATTTTGTTCTGAAACTCCCAATTTCTTACTATTTACATAATTGTTTTATGTTTTGTAGGAAACCGCACGGACGTGGACAAGGTCCGCAGTGAGTGTGGCGGGGTGCGGACCAAGAAGCACGACGGACGAGACACGATGTCGGCGTGTGGAGAGCGGAGTGTAGACAAGCTGTATCTCCGAGCAACGTCTGCAAGAGCGAGGGCGGGGGCTGCCGCTACCACCAGACATACGCTTTTAGTGAGGAGGCTTATTCATTGCAAAGCAATAATCCCATATTTCTAGGTCACGAATAGAATAGAAACGGGGTGGCTCATAAACATAAATAAATTACTTCACTCGCCCGAATGTCAATACTAATAGCAGTTCAGGTTTATGGGACCTGTCCCTTTATCCTTCGTCTACCTGGGAATGGGCCGGACCCCCGGACCTGTCCCAGGCAGATAAAGGGTCTGGAGCAGTTACCATCATATAGATTATAAACCCATCCTTTACAGTTACCTTATCATTCTGCCTTGTTCACAGGTTTGCAGTAGTGACTATGAGGCGCGCGGACGCAGCACACTGACCGTCTCTAAGGGAGACGTCGTGGCCCTTATCAGCGGACATGTCAAGGACTGGTTCTACGTCAAAGATAGACAGGGCCAGGAAGGGTTCATCCCTGCAGCAGTCGCCGGCCACGGGTTCCTATGAGTAGGAAAGAAATGTCGAATCTAGGACAAGTAGTATGTTCATTCTGGGACATAGTACGACAATGATATTCTTAGTCAAGCCTTGTACGTTACTTTCAACTTAAAATTGACATGTATATAGAGATTAAGCTGTAAATTAGTGACTGTATTTAAAATAATTTCTTGAAATGTTATTGTTAGCTCTTGTTTAGAAACAAGATTTTAAAAATAATAAGTTTTCGGTCAAATAGCTACTCGTTTACAGAACATATTACCATTATAGTCATAAACATATCTTTATAAGTCTGGTGATTAAAATATACTAGTGAACCTGTGCGGCTCAATGCCCCGCAAAATAACATATGAATTTAGAAAACAAATTCATCGTGTTATATATTTGTATCGAATTTACTCGACGTCGAAAATTAAATACAGTAATAATAAAGCCTTAGAAGGGAAGCAGTCCAGCCATTTTCTAGCTGTATGTGTATTACATTTAGTAAATTAATAAGTGTTCAAGTTCAAGTGTGTTCCTAGTTATTTTTTAAAGATTTTTAAAACACATTTAACAAAACATTTGATCATATCAAACCAATAGGCCTATGAAGCATATTTTGAGGGTATTACAATGCTGTTTGAAGAATATACTTTAAAAATAAACACTAAAAAAACAATATGTTAATCACAAAAGCACTTCCACGAATACTACGATTTTAGTCTTAAAGTTGCCTTCAGGAAGATTACCCTGGTCAGAATTTTCCGTAATGAATATGTTTTTGCCAAAGATAACATAAATTAGCATTTTTCCATTTTAAAAGGTAACTTAAGTTTGTTTCAGACGGGCACATTTTTATCCTCGAAATCAAAATATGTCCCCACTTACTTGTCCCAGTTAAGACTTTACATTCTATTAAGTTGTTAACCATTCTGATCACATGAAGCCTTGTGCCATTAAAATGAGGACCATTTTTATGTATTAATATTCCACATCAATAAAACCACTGCCCCATTTTATTAGTCTAATCTGTGTCTTGGCAATCCACTGACCTCTATATTTAAAAACTCAGTTGGATTTCTAGATGGGTGTCTCCGCCTTCGTCTGTTTTCGAGGACCCACTCTTCTTCCTCTTGGCATACTGACAAATTACCTAACTTGTCAAGTTCATGTACTAATTCATTAATACTGTTAGTTTATAAAGAAAATTAGATAAAAGTTACTTGGCTCGGTGCTTTCATAACTGCAAACTCAAAATACACCCAGAAGTAAAAAAGACTCAAGTTATTGGTTAAAAAAACTATGTTTGTGTAACAACATTATTCACATGAAGTAGATGATTTTTTTATTTGTCAATCAGCTGTTTTGTTTAAAATGATTTAATAATGTCAAAGATTTGTGATTTTAAATATATAAATTATTATAGTAAAGTTTTCTAAATCATGGTAACTTATTCTCAACTAAATTTGACTATTCCCAGCATTAAAATAAAGTAGGGCATATTAAGACCCATTATGGGTAAACTTTTAAGGTACACAATCCTTGATTGAAATGTAGTATACATTAACAGTCATAACACACAGCAATTATTTTAGTAGACTTTGACTATTTTCAAGTAACAAACATATGTTTCTGTAAATAAAAATCATCTTCCATGTTATCCTTATGGAGAAATATGAAACTTTAAAGGGCCCCAGGGCCTCACTCTCTAATTATTTCCTTAAAAAAAGAGTTTCCTGCACAACTTCACGTTACGCTCTTTCCAATGACACCAAAAACATGACAATCGGTTCAGTAGTTTCGGAGGAGTAATTGTCACAAAAAATCTGCTTGCGTATTAAATAAGTACTAGTGGTCGTCCTGTGGTCGAAACTCGACCAAAAATAATTAATGTACAGACTTCTCTATTTTCTCCCCACACTGTAAATAACACATGTGATTTGAATTTCTTCCATTTGTTTTGATTTTCTGTTTACATTTTGTTGTTATTTCGTCACCATCATGGCAACCCATATGCTCCATGTTAATTTTTTGAAGTTTTCAAATTAATTTTTTGTGCTTATTTGTTAGCCTATTTTAATATTTAGAGGCATTCTGCACATCTACAGGAAAATATCTTTCCAACAGTATCCGTAGATTTTTTCTGCGATGCACACGACCTGAGAAAAAAGGTTTTAAAGAAACATGCTTGCCTATTAATATATAGATAGATAGATTATTAAATTATTTAGACTCACATTTTAACAAAAACATGGCGAAATTGTATTGTATTCTCATCTTTGTTTTAATCAACCGATGTGTTAAAGATGTCAATGAGAATAGCTTTTAGTTTTAGACAACAGTGTGTTCTAGCTTATTCTGTAAATCGCCTAAATTACCTTCAATAATTATTTAGCATAACGCATAATGTGAATAATATTTTGTACAGGTATTAATTTATAAACTTATTTTTACTTGTCATCTGTATGTTTATATTGATGTGTATGAGTAGAATAACAATTACTGTATTGATATTTCAACAACGAAGAAAAGATGTACTGTAATATGATAATAAACCAGGTTTCCTCTATTGTCTTGTGTTTTGATAATTATATAATCTTGCCACAGTAAAATTACTGATGTAATATAATAATGTGAAATTGCAAAATGGTTTGACGTTAGTTAAATTCAAGGAAATATCAATTCAGTAATTAAAAAAAATAACTTCATCTGCAATGTATCTAACCTACTCCATGCGTTGACATTTAATTCAAATAGTCAATGACTAATCATGAAAATATTATATGGACATATTTAGCAAATACACATTTTTATTTGCACGAAACTACTTGCACCCAAGAACCATCTAAGTTAAATTAAATGTCAGCACTGTGCGTCTCTTTCAATGTTTCAAATATATTTTCAACTGGTGGTCAAAATAATTAAATCTTGTACAAACTGGAAAGTCATAAATTTGAGTCTCATACTTGACCATGCTCCTCCTTCCTCCTTATTAACTCCAAAAGAGTATTCAAATTTCCTCTTCATTTTGCATTTCCTTTTTCATTCCTTTTCTTTTTCCTTTTCCTTTTCATTTCTTTTTCATTTCATTCAAATTTCCTTTTCATTCTTGCATTTACATATACATATTACTATTTTAGCTTATTGAGGACTTTTTTTAGATGTTTGCAGCCTCTTTGAACTTTGAACTCGCCATTTTGTATAAACCAAATTGTGTTGAATGGAATATATTAACCTAATTATGGTTTGAACCGATACAGTTTAAGAATTAACTCTAATGATGATTTTTGAAGAGGCAGAACCGGGACATGTATACCTACGTACTACCACAGACAAAAAGAATTAAATATAGACTGTCAGCCATGCTGTGGTTACCATGGTTATGGTTACCATAGTTAAGTGGTACTGGCGCACACCACTGGGAGCGCCGTGTAGTTTACGTAGCACGTACTCCGTAAGTACATGGTGCTCCCAGCGGTGTGTGGCGGAACCTATGGTAACCATAGCACTGCTGACGGTCTATATTTCGTTCTTTTTGTTTATGGTACTACCTGTGTTTCTCTTCGCTGCCTAATAAACCGGGCCACATTATTCTTTTCTTAGTTCCTTGTTAACAAATTACTTATGGACTTAGTATAACATCTTCAATGTTATCTTGATTGGCTTAGTAACCTCATTCTACTGGAGTCGTAACGCCCCTTTTAGGAACATATCCCCCCGTTTTAAAATCCCTTACATAGTTCATGGAGACCAGAGGTAGGAAACCCGTGGAAAATATAGAAGAGAGTAATGAGTAACCATTACCAAATTGTGTCAAACAGGGTTTGTCTTGGGTCTCAAATAAACCTTAGAAATGTATACAACGGAGCATGTAAGGTAAGTGTACACCACTTTCAAAAATCTCATTAGTGTTGTGAACAGTATTACATCCTCGGCTCACATAATTAGATTTTATAAAGGTGGGGAACCCCATCGAAGAAACTGATAAATATGAAAGTACAGCATGAGAGTCCCGTCTGTAAAAAAAATAATTAAAGAATTGAATTGTATCTTCCTTAAAAAAAAAAACAAATGGCCCATTTTGTACCCATGATAATGGCCTTAACACAGAAACTTTAAGATGATTTTGAGTAGCAAACTAAAAACTGTCTAACCTAATCTTACTACAATATTTGTATTTTCCTGTTAAATTTAAAATTAATAGGCTACATCTTAATTCCCTTAAAAAATATTAGGTGTAGAATCCGTATGGATCTAAAATCGTCCTTTCTGAATGCGGCTCTTTTATATTTGGTTTGATTTTATTTAGCTTCACTTATAATTTCCCTATACAGTATATTGATTTGAACATTTTAAAATCAATATCATTAAAACACGTAAAAGGCAGAGCTTTGGGGAGCCCTCTACATAGTGTTAGAAATCGAATTTAGCAAACTAATACGAGTAAAATTGTTTATCCTTTTAGCAGCTTGATAATTTTGTATTCATGTAACTCATGACCTTTAAAGATTGTCTTGCGTTTTACAAACTTAAATGTTTAAAATTTATCGGCCTTGGGTCTCCCTGACCAGACCCTCGACTGTGGTATTTGCTCCATCTAAAAATTGAGGATGGGTCCCGATCTGCGGATCGGGAATTGACTACCCACCTGCGAATTATATTTAGGATGGAAATGTTACCACAGGGTCCAAGTTGAAAGTGAACTCGAGTTGCTGAGCTGCCGTGACAGAACAAAGACTCATCATTTCGCACACACGCACCAACCAAAGGCAAACGTAACGTGTTATACCGTAAAATGTGTTCAAAAATTATTAGCAACCCATCTCCTATCTTGCAACATCTTACATCTTACATACATCTTACATACGTCCTCTTCATCGCAGTCGTAGAGACTGGAGAATCGTCATTTACTACTTTCTCACTTCTTCTTATAGTAGCCCTATGTAGTAGTTGTGGTCTTCATAGAACTCCTTTACACTTTACTCTTTACTCTTTACTGGTGTTTACTTTACACTTTAGGGATGGTATGGTCTTTGAAGGAGGTAGTTTTTTAGTGCAGCAGTGAATTTTTTTGTGTTATTTATTGTTTTGAGATGTTGTGAAAGTAGGTTGTAGAGTTTTGCTCCCATTGCAGTGGGGGTTTTGTTGGTTTTATTTAGTCTGTTTTGTTGGGTGTTATAGTTTGATTTTGATCTGGTGTTGTGGTTGTGGCATGTTTGTCTGGTTTCAGGCGGATTTTGTTTTATGAAATTGATGGTGTCAAATATGTATTGGGAGGTTAGGGTTAGGATTTGGTGTTTTATGAAAAGGGGCTTGCAGTGTTCAAGGTAGTGGGATTGGTCTATGATTCTGGCTGCTTTCTTTTGAATGATTTTAATTTCTTTTAATAGGCTTTCGCTGGCACTTCCCCATGCAATTAGGCCAAATTTCAGGTGTGAAGCGAAGATTCCATGGTAAGCCATCTTGGTGGTTTCTTCGTTAGTGATTTCCCTGAGTCTTCTAAGGGCATAGATAGCTGATGAGAGTCTTCGCTGGAGCCCTTCCAAGTGGGGGTGCCAGTTTAGTTGCTGGTCTAGAATGATGCCGAGGAATTTGGTTGTGGGGTTGGCATTTGTTGTGTCTTCTTGGGTTGAAGGATTGTTTGTTGGTGTGAATTTCAGGCAGACAGTTTTAGATTCGTTGATTCGGAGATTTAGGCTATTGCAGATTTTTTTTTGCTGTGTCTATTGTTTTTTCTGTTAGGTTGGGTGTTGGTGTGCCCGGGACTATGATGGTCGTGTCGTCGGCGAACATTATACATGTATTGTCTGCTGGTAGGAGGGTGGGGAAGGTGTCTATGTAGATCAGAAAGAGTAGGGGTCCTAGTACTGAGCCTTGGGGTATGCCTTGAGTGATGGTTTGCAGTTTTGATCTGGACTTGGTAATGAAGTTGCCACTTTGGTGTTCAATTTCAATGAGTTCTTGTCTGTTGTGGAGGTAGCTTTTTATCCAGTCTAGAGCTTTGTTGTTGATGTTTAGGGCTGATATTTTTTGGAGAAGTAGGTTATGGTCTAGGCTGTCAAACGCTTTTTGGAGATCTAGAAATATGCCGTTTGCTGTTTTTTTATCCTCCCAGATATTGGTTATGGTGTTGCAGAGTTGAGCCAAAGCGGTATTTATGGATTTCTTTTCTCTGAAGCCGTGCTGGTTGTCGCTTAATAGGTGGTTGTTTTCCAGGAAAGTTATTATTTGGGAGTTGATTATTTTTTCCAGATATTTGGATAGGGCCGGTAATATTGAAATTGGTCTGTAGTTTTCGGTTAGGGTGGTATCTCCTTTCTTGAATTTGGGGTAGACCAGAGCTTGTTTCATGGCTTGTGGAACTGTGGCTTGTATTATGGAAGTATTGATAATATTTGTCAAGGGAGGGATCAGTTCATTCTTGCAGTACTTTAGGATTTTGTTTGGGATTTCGTCCAGTCCGCACGAAGATTTTGGAGGAAGGATTTTGAAAAGCTTATTGAGTTCATGTTGGGTGATTGTTTTGAAGGCAGATAGATGTGGTTTCTGTGTCATGTCCGGTTGAGTGGGATCAGATGCTTTGTTGAGGTTTGGGTTTTGTAGTGCGTGGTTGCCGATGTTGATAAAATAGTTGTTGAAGGTGTTGCAGATCGATGTTGGGTCGGTTATTTGGCGTCCATTAGAGTTGAGGGTGATATTGTTTACTTTGTTGTCTGTATTTGATTCTTTATTTATGATGTTCCATACCGTCTTATTTCTGTTGGGGGCATTGTTTATTATGCTCATTGTATGTTCAGACTTCTTCTTTTTTACATCTAGGTCGTATGCTCTTTTGAAGTTACTGTATATTTTTTTGTCTTCCTCACTGCCGCTGAGCAGATATTTGTCATGGGCGGTGTCAAGTAGTTTTTTTTAAGTTTGGCTGTAGTTTCATCCCAGAAAGTATAATTTGGTTTCTTCCTTAAATTTATGTTAATCTTCGGCATAGTATTATTTATTTCATATGTTAGGATATTTACAAGGGCATTATATTTATCGTCGACTGATTGAGCTGTGTAGATTTCACTCCAGTCACATTGGTTGAGATTTATTTTGAGCTGGTCTAGTTTGGTTTTTGTAATAGGCCTGACTTGTTTCTTAATGGGTTGGTTTCTTAGGTTGTGGCGGTTTGTTATGGTGCAGCTGATTCCCAGATGGTCTGAGAAGGACATTTTGTGGGTTTTTAGGGCAGTGTTGTGGAGTCCTAGATTTGTAAGGCAGATGTCAATACTGCTGACCGAGGTGGGGGTTATTCTAGTGGCCAAGATGTTTCCGATCTCTAGGTTGTGTTGGTCTGCAAACGCTATTAGTTTCAGCGTGTCTGGTTCGTGTGGGCGTAGGATATTTACATTTATGTCTCCCAAAAATATAATATCTTTATTTCTTTTGGAGTACATTTCCAGGAAGGGATCTAGGTGTTTGGTAAGTTCTTCGATGGGTTTAGAGGGGGATCTATAGGCTCCAATCACTGTTAGTTGTTGCTCAGGCAGGTGTATGGCAACCAGTTCTGAGGCAAGTTCCTCGCAGTGTGGCTTGGTGTCGATTTCTGAGTAGAATAGAATAGAATAGAATAGAAACGTCTTTTATTTGAAGCGGTTTTCAGTACATAAATACACTGCTTTTCAAAACAACTCAAGTCAGGTACAAAGTCTGCAATACAATAACAAAAGAGAACAAATAATTTAACTAAAACTAATTCAACCAGCCTATATTTACAAATAAAGTTTTTTTGTTTCTTGTCTGAAAGCCTTATAACTTAAATTTTTAAAAATTTTTATTTTTTAAACTACTTATTTTTTAAATTTTTAAATGTAGGAGTTGTTATTTGATTTTTTTGAGAAGATGGCTATCCCTCCCCATTTATGCAATATCCTTGAGAAACTCGTAGTTAGGGAGTAGTCAGGTAGATTAATTTGGTTGATGTGTTCTTCTGTTAGGCCGTGTTCGGATATAATGATAATGTCTGGGTCTATTAAGCTGATTTCTGATTCTAATTTACTTAGTTTACTGTGGAGCCCTCGTTGAATGTTGAGGTGAAAGATTTTTATTTTTTTGGAGTGATTTTTTTTTGTGGATGTTGTTTCTTGGATGGTTTTGGGGTTTTTGGTGTGGTGGGTTTGGTGAGGTACATTTTCGGTTTAGCTTGGGGCAGGAGGGGGGGGGAGTTTGTACGTTTTTTGAGGACAGGGCCGGTTTTAGGTTGCTGGTATTTATTGTGGTTGATTGGGAGTTGATGGGTATTTGTTGGTCGGTGGAGTCTTCCTGGGTTTCTTCAGTTGGCTGAGGGACGTTGTTCTGGTGTTGAGGGCATGGGTGTTCACTAGTTGGTTTGTGGCTGGGATGGGTGGTAGGATCGGTTTCCATGCTAGGCTGAGGTGGGTTGGTGAAGAGAAGTTTGGCTTTTTCGATGATAATGTTAGAGAGAATAGTGGCGCCTTTACGGTTGGGGTGAATGTTGTCGGGTCCATAGCAGTCTTCTTGGCAGGCTAGGCTGGTGTCAATGAAATTCAATTTGAGCTCATTACACATATAGTTTAGTGCAGCATTTGTTTCCTCTATGTGTTTGTCTCTTATGTCCCTTCGATACATTATGCCGTTTACAAACCATTTAGTGTGTGGTGATTTCTTTTTGGCAGCCTCTATTGTCAGCCATAACGGCCTCATAACATGGTTGGGCGTTTTTGAGTGTGCCATATTATTGGATCCAATATTTATAACTATTTGGTCAGGCAGTTTATCTTCTTCGCTTAGGTATTGACTCAGGTCTCTTATGATGGCTCCAGATCGGACTTTGGTTAAGACATCAATCTTGTGGTTCTTTTTATAATGCTTGCTGCAGCTCTTAGTGTTGAGTCTCCGATCAGTAGTGTACTTTTTTTGGGTTTCTGGCTGTTTAGAACAATTACGATTGCATGTATACTAACCGACCTTTGCATAAGAATGAAGTTATGAAGGATTACACAATGATTTTGATAATGTTTTAATCACAGATAATAACCAATGAATCCTCTTTTGTCTATGGTAATATTTGACTATTGATACATTATTATCGATCGTACAAAATGGTTTTTAATCAATGGTCTAATTTATCTATGGAACTGTTTAAATGGAGCTGTGCGTGATGCACGATAAACATTGCTAGATCCACATATCCTAATTTGTATGGTAAAATCATAGATTAAACACACTCCGTAATGTGAATTATATGTAGATATTTTTTATACTACAAAAATAATTTTTTCGGAGTTTGCTTTCCTATAAGTCTGGCCAAAGACAAAAGTAAAATCCAAAAGTGAAGGGAGGAGAGAAAAGAGAAACTACGGAAACTGCATTGGAATACTGGGATTGAACTAGTTAAGTTTAGGTTTTGAGTTTTAGTTTTAGTTGTTCTTCCTCTCATCAACGTTATCGGCATCGTCGGCATCATCATCTCAAGTGAGCGGAAATTGTGATTGTTTTGTTTTGTGGGTGATAAAATTAAAAGTTCTGGTTATTGAAGAGAAAATGGTCGATAAACTTTATTACAACACTACATTGTCTCAGACGTTTTCCCCATGTGGAAATTATTTAGTAGCTGGTAACATTTATGGTGAACTTGCCGTGTTTGAGTAAGTAATAAAATACTGTTGCTGCTTTCTAATTTTAGGTTAGGCCTATTTTTACAAATAAAGGGGAATTTTTTAAGCACAGGTCCCGGAGTTGCACAAAACCTATTACAGTCCTAGGCCTAGAATTAGCTAAGCTATAACTATTATCCATACTTTCATTGGTTTACCTTTTGATTGAACCCTAAATGGGTAGCCTATTTTTTTACAGCAATGTTTATTTTTTAAGCACAGACAATGTTGAGATGGACTATCTGCTGCTCAATCATCATTTTGATGATTGATTGTCCTTGGGTTCTGTCCGTTTGGAGAACTTAGGCTTCACTTTATCAGAAAATGTTAGCAGACTTAAAAATTTATTTCGGTAACTCAAGTTCACTGTTTCACGAAGAAGTGCCTCTGTGTAGCATAAGGTGGGTCTTAAAGATGAATCGACATTTTAATAATTAATGAGGAAGGAAGTACCCTTTACCTAAGTTAATGGATTTATTATTGACCTAACCAAAAGATTCGGTAAAAATCTGAACTTTCTGGACTTTTCTCTTAAACCATTCCTACGGTTCTAATAAGTTTAAACAATAAAATACCTTTAAAACATTTTCTTGAGGCGCGGTAACCAATGCCAATTGCTAAAATATACGGAACTACTTTTTAAGTCGTGGAGCAAATCGCACCATTGGATTACCAATTGGTGTCAAGAACAACCATTGGAAATCAATGCAGAAAAAAAATATATATGAGCCGACAATTCCATACTTTAAAGAAAAATATAACTTAGATATAGAAGTAATTGGTTTATTTATTGGATTAATTATTAAGAGGGAGAGAGACTATTCCCAAGTTTTTTATATAGCCTAGGCTACATTTTGGAAAAAAATTAAATTGGACAGAAAAGTTCTAAGGAAAATTTTCATTGTGATATTGAAAACTTCAATATCAACATTAAGAACTCATTTAAATACTCTAACTAGCGGAATACCCGTGCTTCGCTACGGAAACTTTCAGAATGATTGAAATTTTTAATAAATTAGTGTTTAAGTTCCAACAGCCTTCAGTCAACTATTCAGCTACAACCTGTTTTGCTCCAATCGATGTCATATTACAGGGGGACAGCTAATTATAATGTCTCACCCGGTCCATAAAGTGACTATGCTCAGGGTGGTTGCCCATGACCAGACTGCATAAAGGTTTAGGTGGGTGCTGCAAATGTAGGCTACTGTAGTAGCTGCACTTTACCACCATTGCAGTACATGCCAAGTGTTTCTTCTTTCCATTTTGCTTCGCAGTACTTTGAACGTCATGGTAGGCCTACCTATCGCCATCGAGCTATCTCCTTAATAGTCTGTTTTTGGATTATGTCATTGTTGATAGATGTTTCACCATCCATTGAATCTTTGGCAAATGTATTTCAGGATGAGTTTGTTCATACCTTTGCTTAAGCGTTCTTCACCTGATTTTTTGTTTGTCTGTGCACCTGCTATGCCGTTTACGCCTTAATGTATTTTGTTGAGATTCCGGAATCTGCTGACGATTGGAAGAAACGGGTTCTTTTAGAAAAGGTTTAAATACCTACTATAAATCAATCCAATTTTGTTGGTATCACAACTAGTTTCGGTGTCTGTGTGACACCATCATCAGGCTGCACAAGGACAGTTTTCTTTCTTCATACGAAGAGCGTCATATTTACACGAAAATAAATAAACATTTAAACACGACACAAACACAAATACGAGACATTTATGGTAACTGAACAGTTAAGAAAACAGACACCATTGCACTGACCACCTGCAGTCTAGACTTAAACTCCCCCGGGTTAGCGTCGTCTGTTTTCTTAACTGATCAGTTACCATAAATGTCTCGTATTCGTGTTTGTGTTGTGTTTAAATGTTTATTTATTTTCGTGTAAATTTGACGCTCTTCGTATGAAGAAAGAAAACTGTCCTTGTGCAGCCTGGTGATGGTGTCACACAGACACCGAAACTAGTTGTGATAACAACAAAATTGGATTGCTTTATAGCAGGTATTTAAACCTTTTCTAATATTATTTGGCAATCCGGAGGCTAACAACTACAATGAAGGGTTCTTTTTGTGGCTTAAAAAAGTTGAAATGCCCGCTAAGCAGGGATTGTGTAAATCTGAGTCTTTTCTTGGGATTAGGTTCATCACCAAACCTGACATATAATTCACTAGGCCTATTCCGATAAACGTCGAAAACAAATTTGAATAGTTGTGAAGCTACAACCAGCTCACACAACCCACCATAGGTAAACGAAACGGCTTAGACATTTAATAGAAGTATTCCCTGGAATTGAGGTAATTATTCCCGTCACTGTCGTAGAATAAGATTGAGAAGTAGTCCCAGTTCCTCACATTTTCAACAATTTCTTCACACAATTTCAACTCCTCTGATGTGAATGATAGGCCTATTGTCAGTGGCGTAACAAACTTTTACGGGCCCCCCTGCAAACTTATTTTTTGGGCCCCCTCTCATGAGTTATTTTTAGACCACCGATACAACATAATAAAACGCCCTCCCCCTCCCCCTAGAGTTATTTTTGAGCCACCGATACAATGATCAAACAGATTAATCATGAAAAGAGTGGTAAATAAATTATGAAAAAATATTAAATTAAAAATTAAAACATTAAATTATTGGTTATGTCATGTCCATAAAGGGGTGTGTTAAAAGTATTTCAGTCGTGGTTTGATGAAAGTGTTACATCACTACATCATTATAACAATATTAGTGTTTGTAAATAGTTTTGAAATCAAATAAAAAAACCTTATTTTCCATCCGTCTATCAGAATGTTTATATCAAGGTGGTTAAAAATTTTACATTTAGGTGATCACACATGTTATCAATTTTTATTACCCTGATAATTAGACTAATTCGTTAATTACAAGGCAAAAATGTGGTTCGAATTCAGCTATTAACCCCCTTAGTTGCCTTTTGCTGTATTGGCTAGGCTATTAATTAACATCTGTGTCTATAAATGTCGGACTTAGTCCCTTTCAAAACTAAAAGGTTGGGCTACTCATCCTACACTCATCTCCATTAATTCTTGGCTTAAAATACAGTACCTACATTGGTATAGTTGCCATTTCAAAGTAAAGTATTAAAGTCAAACAATCAATTATTTAAGATGGGGACGCCACTATGTGCGTATTTTAACTCAAATATGACTGAAGGATGGGAAAGTATTAATTTATTAGGTTAGTTTAATCTTTGGTTATAATTAACTCATACACTTAAGCTGGTTAATATAACTGGTTATATTGACGTACTTTTATCACAGGCTAAAATAGCCCATTGCATTTTTATTTTATCTTTGTATGGATTTCAAGCGTCTTATTACGTTGTAAGCGTTTATCTTACAACAAATGTCTTTAGTAGTATGTTTTCTGGTTTTCTGTGGTATTGGTTAATTGTGAGGTAAAATAAGATATGGGTTAACAAACAAAGTCAGTAGAGTAGTAAGTTAGAATATTGTAGCCTATTTAACAAAATAGGTACAACAATATTCGGACAAAACTAAAATGTAAAATAATACAATATTAAAAGCCCCAGCCAACGTTGATGACTCCAGGCTGCAAAGTAACAAAATGTTAGCAGACGACATAAGCAGTGTACGAAATCACCGAGAAGTAAAATATTTCTCGGTGAGGAAAGTAAGATTGCGTGATAATCAAAGACAAACGTTATAAAACCTTAAATTTGTCACCCTTGTTCGTTATCACTGAAGAGGCCTAACAAAATTAAACGATAACTGATAACAACATATTATTAATAACATCAATGTTATTACTTGTTCAATACAATTATTGAATGATTGATAATACATTTAAATAAGAATGAACTCCAATTTTTCGGCCCCACTCGTCTCACGGGCCTCTCTGCTCACCAATTCCCGCTCACCGGTTCGCGGGCCCCCTCAGCTCCCGGGCCCCCCCCCCCCCCCCCCCGCATTGCGGGCCCTTCTGTTACGCCACTGCCTATTGTGTGGAACGAACTTGCCATTAACATTTAAAACCTCAGTGTCCATACTATGAAACGGTTTAAACAACTACAAAAATATTAACTATACATCACAAGTCCTCACTTAAAAAATAAAATGCAATAAAATACCCTCGCCGCAGCAAACCTGCAGACTAAGCGAATTTCCATTTGCCTGATTGGATTTACACTAAAATATATCACATTTATTCCCTATTTAAATAGAATTAGTTTAACGAGTACTTAGGTTTGCTGCAACAGGGAGGGTAAAAAAGTTTTTTTGTTGTAAAATGTTAATAGTTTAGAAAAAAATTAGTGTATTTTCCAAATTCCATCAAAATATGTTCATTAACAAGCAAACTACAGCAGTTGATTTATTCCCCATAAGAATAACATGGGAATTTTAAATTTACAATTTTTTGGAATTTTCTCCGTAACCATTAGGCGCACAATAATGCTTCAATATAAAAAATTATTTTTTTTTTTAAGCTCTACAAGATGGTTTGGAAAGAAATTGTGAAATTTTGTGTTTTTAGGGTCGAAAATGGGAAAAACCTATTTTTACCCCATAAACCCCCGTTCCCATAGTCTGATCATGCTGGTTCGCGAACTCGTTCGAATAAATGTAGGTTTACAAGTTTATACCAAATTTCATCAAAATCGGATCATTTTTTCTCGAGTTATCGTGCTAACGACATATATATATATATGAATTTTAACGGATGGTGTTTTTGGTCTCTAGGGACCTCAAAACGAAAAAGTAAATTGGTCCCGGGTCCAGGTCTTACCATGAGTACAACGGTAATAGCTTATTCCCTATATGGGGAATTCGCTAAAACTAAGTTCAATTCTAACACTAATCACACATATTAGAAGTTGATACAACTAAATTAATGCCAGAATAAAATAGACTGAATTAAATCTGTTTCTTTTATTGCAGCATAGCAAATATCCTGAATCCACCAGATGGAGCCACCCAACCTATGAAGGCTTTTACCCACTTCATGGCACCAAGAGATGAACAGATTTGCAGTTTGGCGAAGACTGATAATTTCCTAATCGTCGGGACTGTTGGCGAAATTACTGGATGGGATTGGTCTACTATTGGACAAAATAAACACCCTAAACTGTCATGGACTATACAAATACCAGTTACAAGGTGACTGTTTGGTTCAAATGTAATGTATGAGTAAGGTATCAAGGAAATACTGAATGGTACACTTAAGTGGTGTCTAGCACTAGACGCTGGTGTCTAAGGCAAAGTGCAACACCCCCCCCCTTGCCCTCATGTACTGCAACGCTCAGAAGAAATTATGAGTGGAGGAAGACCCTGCTTGATAGGGATTTGTGAATAGTGCTCCCCACTCAGGCTTTTATTTTCTCATCAGGCACAACATACCTGCTATGTACTATGAAAAGAAAGTTGATTTATGTTTTAATACAAATTTTTATTCTGTAGCAAATTATTGTGAGTTAGCTTTTTCAGTGAAACAAAACAAAAACAAACTAATGTAAACAAAGTCATATGATAAATAAAAGAAATTAGGAAACAGTTGGTTGAACACAGCAATACCAGAGCTGAAAGCTCACGTTTGTCTTATAAGCGAGTTTCCTCTGTACCTTACTTCTCTGTGGTGAAAACCATTCATCAGTTTTATTTAGATTTAGTCTGCTAAAATATGCATTAGCCTATGTAATAACCTGAACAAAAGACTAGTTATTCCTTTAAGCCGTGTACACAAAGCTAAGTTGGCGGGCAGGTTACTTGCTTCAGGTAACTTGAAATACACTAGAGGCAAGAGACCTGACTTGCCGTGTAAACAAGGCTTTAATCTGTTTTTTATTATTTTAACCTTAAGATGAAGTGTTTTTGCTTCTGTTTAGTATTCAACATTGCACCACAAAGACTTTGTAGAAAAAGGAATTTTTCTACCTTTCCGAAATTAAAATTGTATTCACCATTCAAATTTTGTTCTTATTGTTCTTTATTTTAGAGATTCGTTTGAAAAGCCTGATGTCAACGCTATGGCGGTGGCGGAGAACGAAGCGACGGGAATGACAATGCTGTACGCAGGCTGTGGTGACAAGAAGATCCATGTGTTCAACTTGGAGGATGGAAAACACGTACGATCTATGGAGGGACACGATGACTACATACATAGTATTGATCAACAGTACGTATCAGCGACTAATTCTAGCACAGATGGAGCGCTTTTGTAATGTACTTCTTGTAGCCTATTGTTTTTCTGGTGAAAAACAATATGGGGTTGTGGTGGGGTTTGCTATGTTAGAGAAAAAAAACACACATACAGATTGGTAAGGTGTTGCTTCTCATTACATTTCAATTGGGTTTTCTTGAGATAAAAATTGTAAATTAGACCTACATGAAAGTTCGGGATGGCAACTAAACTTAAATATCATCAGTCCTTCGGACTAGTTTCTAGTCATAAGTTATGTGTTGTCAAATAATTGATTCTATTTTAGGCCTAAGGAAATTTAAAATTAATTTATATTTAGAGATGTGTGAAAATTATTAAAATAAATTGTTTGTTTGGACTGGACACTTTATTTAAAATTACCACTTAGCAAGTAACGTAGGCCTTTACTCCGAAACCAATTGAGAGCAATGAGAGGTATGTTAGGGCGTTCCAAATTGTGCTGGAAATGGTTACAGCAATCATGCAATAATTTTATAGGCCTAATGAAAAAATATTTCCCAAGTCCCGTACTCAGCCAGCCCTACATCCAGATTCAATTTTGTTAGAGATTTCTTAAAATCGTTAAACCAAACTAATTAGGCATGTTTTTTTTAAATATACAAAACTCATGCTGTCAGCATGTACTCCCACCTCGGAACTTTGGACCATAGTTTCCTTAAGCACCCCTTCCAGACACAGTTTATTAGGGAAATTGACTAGCTGATCCAGGCCCGGACTGGGACCATTTGGGGCCCTCAGCTACATGCTGAGAAGGGGCCCTCTACCAGGGGATTATGTTTTATTAGGTTCTTATGTAAACGAGTTCTTTTCTCACTCTTTTGGAATTTTTTATAAGATGGAAGAAATTCAGCTAGGTATTTATAAAATATTAGGGCATTTACTTGGCCAATTATTTATTATTAAAATCAACCTTATTATTTATTAAAATAAAAAATTAAATAAATAAAATTTTTTTAGGATACTACAACAATACAATACACATACTGTAGAAGTGCCAATAAGTGTTATAACAGAGTTCAAATTAAAGAGCAGTATTATTCGAACAAATTGTGTTAAAATTATTTGTGTGGTAACAATAATCACACAAAGAATTTAGGGATTTGAAAAATAATACTAACAAGACAAAGACTGTATTAATCAGTAGGCCTACTTAACAACAAGCACAAATATTGAAAAATCAAAAATATTGAACTATAAATACACATAACATGAGTCAGAACATATGGAATATTTACGAAAATTACGCACACATTCACAATTAATAAGCACTGTCTACTAGCTGAATATTTACTCAAAAACGCATACGCACACATAGGCCAAAAATCGTTTAGCAAGAATATTAGGTTGTATCATACATAAACCATCGATATATCACTAAATAGGCTAAACACGCTCCCTAGATTTCTCATCCTTATGGATAAGCTGAGGACAATAATTTTGCTGTTAGTTCTGTCCGGTATACTGTAGGGGTCGTGTTTTGCAACAATTTTGTTTCTTGTTACTTCAGCTATTTAAAAACACAATTAACCAAATAAAAGAATGTAATTATAAACAATAACTCGTCCCCTAGTTATATAACTGAACAGTAAAGCAAAAATCACAAAATTAACCCTAAAATAATGGGAACAAAATTTCGTTGACACTAGTGATCAGTGTCACCAACATGAACTAGACACGAAAAAAGACCTTCAAAATCTATAAGAAATTCAAGAAGCCACTTTTGTTGGTTACTATGGTTGTATTTACCAGTAATAACCAAGTTATATATTGTTGTTTAAATTCCAACTTCTTATATTTTTCCATGTAGTAGGCCTTCTTAAAGAACACGATTTAATTACTCTGCTGAGTCTGACAAAATAGGCTACATCTTTAGTTAGGCTTAGCAACCGGGACTTATTTTTATTAACTAAAATAATAAACTAAAAAGATCTGGCTACAAATTTAAAATGGGGATGGAATGTAGTTGTATTAATAGTCAAAGCTATTATGTTCTTAATAAAAACATGAATTTAAAATCAAATTTTCTATCCAATAGAGCATACTATTAATGTCCTTAATATTACAATATTTTTATGTAGGCAAGACGATGCAGTAGCTGGTTGACTGACATTGAATTGTCCATTGTGCAATACTAGCTGTACTTTCTGAATTTTCTTGTGTTAGAAATTTTAACAGTTAGATTTATGTGCTAGCCGTGTTTCGTGCGTCAACGCAAGCATATACTCTTAAAGGCCAGCTACGTACGAGGTTACTGTTTTTGGATGCGGTAGTGTTAAAAAAATCTAAATTCTATGCAGCTAGAATTTTGTCAATTGATTTTCTCATTCTAATTAACCTATCCCCTTCTAGGTATCGATAGAGTCATTGACTCTTGACTTGATGCACACTCACTCGACTTGACTTGATTATTCTTGATTCACATAGGCTACTAATCCCTACCGGAAAGATTCCAGTACAGTATATTTTTCTTCTTTTCCTGTCTTTTTGCGCTGTCTTTATGTTGAGTAATCAGCTGATATGATAAAGCATCACTTTGCCGTTGTCTGCTAACCACAACACAAGTCACCGCGCAGACGATGTATTATACAGCAACGTAACTCAACTAACAATAGGCTACAGTAGGTTGTATGCCTTTATATATAAACGGCAAGATACAAAATGTTGTTAAACACAGTTCTCTAGTTTGGAAAATGTAAACAAATCGTTACTAAGGACATATGATAGCTTATAACAAAGGACAACATTTTTTTTGTAATTTTTAAGCGAGAAGGGGTCCCTTCGGGGCCCTGTTGAGCCGGGGGCCCTCCGCGATCCCGGGCCTGAGCTGATCAAGTTGTGTGTGATATCCCTGATACCTAGTTAGGTACTTGACAAAATACGCCCATCTTGAAGACTACCGCATCACACCCTGACAGTAGATGTGTTATTTCTTTCTCTTACTCCAGACAGATTCCGTGGTCTCCTGCTGCAATCTTCAAGAAACCTTAGATGTTGTGAGTTAAAAATCGGGTTTTGGACTGTATATGTTTGAAACCATTGACTTTTTGATTGGAGACATCCCATCTAAGGCCCAGCTGTCACCAATTTTTTATTAAAAAAGAACATTGTTCTGTGATCCTATGTTAGATTGTGCCTAGAGTCTAAAATTAAGGTTTGTCCTTAATCTTTGTTACCTACATAGTTGATGGGGTATAACAGATGCTATAGCTTACAATACGCCATCCTATCAGTTTGTCTTGGTTGAAAACCGCGCATATTTGTCAGAAATCAGAGATTTACATCAGTGCAATCTGTCAGTGGCTCACGTCAACTAGATTGTTTTGATTTGAAAACTGGTGATAACTTAGGCCTAAACATTGAGATGAAGTGTCTAGTTTTATCAATAGTCCAAGCCGACACAAGTTTACTGAAAAGGAACGTGTTTAATGTTTGTAGAGGGAATCAGCTGGTGTCGGCCGGTGAGGACGGTGCAGTAAGACTGTGGGACTTGAGACAGAAGAGTCTCACAGCTGTGGTAACACCTCATACGCAGCCCAAGGTGGAGAGACCGTCTCTCGGCAAGTGGATAGGGGATGCTGCCCTCAGTGACGATTGGCTGGTAAGTAAACAAAAATTTAGGGATGGCCAAGTCTCGAAATTTCGGGAAATTTTAAATCTCGTTGTACGAGACGAGATTTCTTTTTGGCCGAGATTTTTACCGAGACAGGAATAAAAAAAAAAAAAAATTAAAAAAAAAATTTAAAAAAAAAAATATTAAAAATGCCTGCAGAAAGTGTCAACGCAATACCCGCAATACAGGAGCGTGTTGTAGTTGCGTTTCCTTTGTGAAGGCGTTCTTATTTAATTAATTCTTTAAATGTAAATATTACTTTAATTATTTTAATAATATTACTTTAATAACATTTGAGAAGTTTTGTAAAGTGTAAGCAGTGTGAGGAATGTTTTATTACTATAACAAGTCAAAACAAGTAACTATTTTATAAAAATTAATATTGCTTTTATTTTATGATTTATTTTATTTTAGGATAAGTTGAACTCTATCCTAACTGATATCACTATGTTTCCTAGTCGTAGGCATTTTTAATAAGTTAGGCGTGATTAATAAAAAAATGTTATGCTGATGTTTTTTAATAAAAGATTGTAAATATTCTTGCCTATTATCATTATTTTTGTATTTAAACAGTCATCTAACAATGTTACAAAATCAGGTAAAAATTTTGAACGTGCATTTCCCGTTGTGTATGAGAAGGGAAATCTCGTCTCGATCTCGTCTCGAAATTTTATGAGAAATAAAAAATCTCGTCTCGTCTCGAACTAAAAATCCAATCTCGTCCATCCCTACAAAAATTATAACATTCCTCGGTAGGCTTCTGTTAGAGAAGTTATTTTTACAGCCTTGCGAACACCTCTCTTCCTATCGTATTACAGCACACTCTCGATTATCCGAGCACTCGGATTATCTGTGGTGTTTTTAGGGCTAAACTTTTTATTCCAACAATCTGCAACAACCTAGAAAATGAACTTATTGCTTACTGTGCTAGTGACAGTACTAGGTTATCAGGTCATATAATAATGATTTAATAAATCCTTAGAATCTTTGTATTGTTGATTTCTGTAGGCCTAATACAGTTATACTACCATAGGCAAAAAAATGTTCAGATGAAAATTCCATATAATAATTTTATTGGCTATGTATTGTTAAAACATCTATTGAAAACAAATATTTGGCTTCCTAAAGTGGCACCGTAACCCCTAACCTTAAAACCTAAGTGATCTCCAAATGTATTTATATCACATAGCACAAAGTAATACACAAATAGTTACATTAGTGTTAAAAGTAGCTGCTTAATCCACTACACTCAAAACAAATTTTGCTCACTACATTAGAGCCACCACAGTTCTTGTTAAGGTTTTATAAAAGAGGCAGCCTCTATTACCTTGCATTTCTCGTCCACATGGACCACAGAGGCCTGTACTTGAAACGTATCCAGCAAAGCAGGGGGTGAGCCAGTAAAGTAAATGGTGGAACTGTACTGATAAAAAGTGGTGGCAATGAATACAAATCCCGGAAGTACAATGTCTTTGTGAAAAATTCAGTCTGGAAATATTTGAAATTTGGACAGTTCCTGCGGCGGCCGCTAGGTAAAATTCCGCGATCACGCCGCCAAGTCAGCTGACGTGAGAGAGACAAAGAATTGGCTTAGAGCAAGAAAGATAAAGAGCCAAATTTGTCACGGCCGCTGCACGAGCGATCCTATTGGCGCTTGAAGCTCTTTTCGACGGCAACATTTCAGTCTGACTATTCTCCATAAGCATTTCGCTTTTTACAGGGTTTGTAACGTTGGTAGTGAAGAACCAGGATCCAAACCCATGACACCTTGGACTTGAAGTCTAGGCAATACTGACGAAGCCACTGTCTCGCCAAAAGGAAGGTCTACCCAAAAATAAATACCTTTCTATCACAATACGGATGGAAGTAAAGTTATGAGGAAATTTCTTGGACTATCCCCTAAGAGGGACTAGTCCATCCATCTGTGAAATTTCAATCTGTTGACCCCATGAAGAATTTACACACATTGAAATCATTGATTTATTGCAGGTGTGTGGAGGGGGTCCGCGGCTGTCACTGTGGCACCTGCGCACCATGGATGTCATGGCTAGCTTCAATTCCGTGGAGGACTCTGGCCTTCATGTCACCCGCTTCCACGAAGACAAGATCATCGCTGGCGGGACAGCACCTAACCTCTACCATCTCTCACTCACTGGTAAAAAAAAAAATGTATTATGAACTTTAGTGTCCCATCTTTTTCTCTTTGCAATTGAACAACGTGAATTTTTGATTGTGTATTCTCTGCAAATACTTGTGAAGATAAAAAATTTGTAGAATTTTTGACTTAGTGCTCAAACACGAAAGCTTTTGGGCTAAGCTTGGGTTGGCTTGAAAATTAAGCCAATATTGTTCATAAAAGTAGTAGAAATAGCCTACGCTGATTATCCGAATCGCTTACTGATCAAAATTTGAAACACACTGGTAACACTAAGGATTCTGTGTTTCCAAGCTCTAAAATGAGCTTGGAAACACTTGGGTCTACCAACAGCTATGGAATGGTACATGTAGTAAATGTACTGCTAATAATTTAATAAGTTTAAAGAACCCGATACCTTGGACAACTTACTAATTTGCATGATAACTCCGACTGACGTTCCACTCGGCTTCGTGCCATCGTTCCTCATCGGTGACGTCACTCAGCAATGCAGCCAACCACACACACAAACTCATATTCTTCTGGCAATGTAATATAGCCTTATATATTACAGTACACTTAATTGGTGGTTTGGTCCCTTTTGACGACAAACAATAGCCTAGGTACTGTACTGAAGGCTGTAAGAATTTACATTTAGAATCTTTACCTTGACTCCATAACTTTGAAGGCGTTGAAGAACACTCTCCAAGCGTGACAACGCTTCCTCTTGCGAAGATCCACCCACCAGTACGTCATCCAAATATGCCACTGACCAAGGTAGGCCACCAATAATTTTGTCCATGGCCGCTTGGAAGAGAGCCGGGGCCGAAGACAAACCAAACGGCAGACGTCGCAAACGCACTAAGCCTTTGTGCGTAGTTAGAGTCAAGAGTGGTTGGGACTCCTCCACCACAGGAAGTTGGAGATACGCTGCCTCCAAGTCCAAAACTGAAAACCAGCTACAACCTGCTAGAGTAGCAAAAATGTCCTCCTGTTGAGGCAAGCGATAGTGTTCCGACTGGATCACTTCATTAAGGGTCACTTTAAAGTCCCCGCAGAGTCGCACCCCACTTTTCTTCTGAATCACCACAATAGGAGTAGCCCACTTAGAGCTGGTAACGGGTTAAGCAATACCTTCAGCAATCATTCTATTAATGTCATCTTCTACTGATTTACGCAACGCGTAAGGAACAGGGCGATATTTACAAAATGTTGGCACAGCATCCTCCTTTAACACAATACGTGCCTCAACATCCTTAATTTCACCAGGGCCTCCTTTGAACACAGAGGCATACTTTTGTTTCAAACCAGAAACAACTTTAGGCTCATCCTTACCTAGGGTTAGGTTAGGTTCACCACCCTTAGATTTAACACTGCCTGATAGGCTATTAAAATTACAAGTAAAAATAGATTTCCAGTCAAAAGCAATATGTTGTAGCCAACTACGACCTAGAAGCATAGGCTGATTCGTACGATCAATCTTAACGACTATCATAGGTAACTGATAAGTCTGGTCCATGTAGGTTACTTTGATTAAAGCTTGTCCAATAACATTGACTTCATTGCCTGAATATGTAAGCAACTTGATATCTACAGTACTCAATTGTACACGAAGGAAATATTTGTTAAACAATTCCTGAGGGCACACAGTTAGTGCCGAGCCAGTATCAATTTCCATTAATACGGATATATTCTCTATTTCTAGGCTTACCTTAAAGGCAGAAACATTTTCACCAGAATTCATACTGTACAAAGACAAACTTTCAAACTTCACTTCATCTGGCCTATTTTCCTCTTTCATCTGATGGATTTTAAATTTACCACTTTTTATGGAATTTTTCACTGGATTTTCTGATTTGAACCTGCAAACCTTACTGATGTGACCCAACTTTTTACACCCATAGCACTTGTAATTACTATATGGGCAATTGCTAATAATTATTAGCCCTATGATCTGGATTGCCACAACGAAAACACTTATTTATCTGAGACATATCTCCCTTCACATCACTTGATTTTGATTTAGATCCCGCACTGTGAAAATTTGAACCTCGGTTGAAAACACGTGTATTCTTCTTAACCTGAAACCTCGAAATTTCCTGAACACCTGTATTCGAGAATAGACCTGTTTGTTTCTCGGCCTGTTCAAGCCTGAGTGCAAGAGCCAAAGTTTTCTTCAAATCCATTTCTTCGGAAAGTAATTTTTGACAAATTGCTTCATTTTTAATTCCCGAAACTAACTTGTCTCTCAGTGCATCCGATAAGAATGTTCCAAATTCATACGTCGAAGCCAAATGCTTCACTGCCACCACGAACTCTGCAATACTTTCAGATTGTTTCTGGCATCGACTATAAAAAGTATAACGCTCAGCGACCACAAGGCGTTTAGGAGAATAATGATCTTCCAAGATTTTGCTCAAATTATTGTAAGATTCATCATCAATCTTCTTAGGAGAAATAAGATCGATGAGGACGGCTAATATTTTAGGGCCTATTACAGTAATCAAGATGGAGACCTGCTTCACGTCCTTGACCTCGTTGGCCTTGAAAAAGTGTTTCAAACGTAACAAATACGAACTAATATCTTTTTCTTACGGATTAAACTCCGATATCTGACCGATATTGGACATTTCACGCACACGCGGATTTAATTTCGTCGCCAAATGTAGTAAATGTACTACTAATAATTTAATAAGTTTAAAGAACCCGATACTTGGGACAACTTACTAATTTGCATGATAACTTCGTGCCATCGTTCCTCATCGGTGACGTCACTCAGCAGTGCAGCCAACCACACACACAAACTCAATATTCTTCTGGCAATGTAATATAGCCTTATATATTACAGTACACTTAATTGGTGTCTAGCACCATAGATTAAACATACTCCCCAAGTAAATTCTCCGCCAGGTAGGGCTTGGTATGCTCGACCTGCTTGTACGGCGAACTCGCTGACCACGTAGTTCTGTACAGTCAGGCTAGGAGCGCTAGAGGTCTCGCCGTACACACACACAAACACACTCTTACAGCTTAACTGCCCACACACGCACGTCCGCACACCCCGCCCGCGCGCCATCACACACCCATGGTACACACGTGACACTCACTCACACCTCACAACCAGCTTGACTCCCTACAGCGCTCGCCTAACAACGGCATTTTTAACACCAGTTGTTTTATTGCGATGGTTGCTGTGATGTTGATTTAATTGTTATTTTATTCGAATAGCCATCTATTGTATTTAATACTTGTAAGTCATATTTTTATAAGTTTACAACTATTAGTTTGGAAATAGTTTGTTACGATTCCTTCATTGTGCTTCCTTCAAGTTGACATACTGGATTTATGTTATTGGTAAGTAAATGTGTTTTTTACTGCATTCCAAGTTATTATTTTGTCATTTACAGGTGAGTTTTAAATGAGTTCCCCCCTACTTTTTCTACATTTCTTAATATATCAACTCCGGGCCACGTCAGATCATTGTAGAGTTGTAAGTACGGTACTTAATTTTGATTGGGTATAAATTTTTGGCCGCCATCTTGGATTAGCCATATTGGATACAAAGTTTTTTTTTCAAATGTAAAGGTTGGGTTTTGACCCATCGTTTCAAACTGCATTTTTACGCTGAATATGATCCGTAAAAAAAACATGATCCATCCTAAAGTTATGATAACTTGTTATATATTTATTTTAGCCCAGTTTAACGTTGTGCAATTTACAAACTAAGACCATAATCTTAAAATAGTGCTAGATAAAGATAAGTATAAAGCACCAGTTATTGTCAACCTATTTTCACTTGGTTTGTTATCGATCTATTTTGTTTGGCCGCCACCTTGGATCCACAATTTTGAAATGAGATAAATAAATTTAAATGCGAAGGTGGTGTTGTGACCGATAATTTGGAAATACTTTTTTATGCTGAACTCAATGCCGCAATCCGTCTTTTCTTATCAAGCTTTCTTTATGATATATTACAATTATTTATTATGTAAATATTTCAAAAACAAAATATGAAAAAAAAAACGGATTGCGGTTATATTTACATTATCCTATATGTTTTGGTCTAAAACCGTTATTGACCAGCTTTCATTTGAGCTATTGATCATTACGATCGGACGAAGGCCTACCTGAAGCACGCTTTTGCATCACGATTCAACAATAATTAAAAATGTTTTACACTTAACTGTAATCAATAAATTTCCACTTTACACACATTAAAATAATTGTTATTTTTAGGCTAAACAATGGCGTCCAGTTCAGCCGATGCCAAGAAACACAGTCGAAATGTGTGTTCCTTCACTGGCTGTGGAAGAAGCAAGGCAACTTGTCCAAAACTTCATTTCTATTCATTTCCTGTGAATAGGCCTTCCATTTGCGAATTATGGGTTGAAAATTGCGCAAATGAAGTTTTGGATACTGTTGATAAAAAAACCTTAAACAAAAGAGTAGTTTGCGAAAAACACTTTGATGAATACAGCTTCCTAAGTGCACTAAAAAATAGATTACACGCATGTGCAGTTCCAACAATCGTGTATGTACAAGATGACCTCACAACAGAAGTGGGACAAAATAGCCAACTGGCCCAAGAACTCGCTCCAGTACAACAAACTCCTACAAATATTTCCTACGAAGATGATCTTATCGCCACTACCAACAAACAGTGTAGGCCTAGTTGAACAAACACCATTAATCAATGCAGATGGCTATAAACTGCCTGAGTCCCCGAGCACACCAGCTGCCGAAGGTCATTCTTGGAGGTCTTTGTTTCTAACACCTAAGGACAAAAAGCTGAAAAGTGTCAAAGGACGCAAGACGACACCTGGTAAAATAACTCCTGGGAAGAGGAAATTGCAACTAAGGTTGAAATCAACAAGAAAGTTGAAAAGAAATTATCAACAAAGATGTAAACGACTGGCAAGTAAGCCGACCACGGTTACCAATGAAATGATTATGGCAGCTATCCAAACTAGATTGCCGGAAAATGTGTCAAATTTCTTCTGTATGCAATTGTCACATTCCGA